CCAAATAACTTCTAAACAATCCTTAGTCTGTATGTGACTGCTGTAAAGTCCTCCCACTCACTATGTAGATGCTCCTGGATGTTCAAAGACCAGCTGCTGTTACTGAGGATCACATGATTTCCTGTCAACCCTGGAGGCCCCTCTGGAAAAATTAAAAGCCATCACCAGAGAAAGCAAGGCCACAGAAATCGCCATAAAAACATGCAACTTCAGCGAGAGTTCTCCTTTGAGCCCAGTTTTAGTCACATTTTTGGATTGTGGACTTTTCATTTAGAAACCTGCTGAACATCTGTGTTTGCTGCTTCATGTACTGTGACCCTTTTTAAATGTCACACAGAAGAATGGGCTAAATTGCAGAACAGTGCAGTGAAGACAGCAGCAGTACATGTCATTTTCTCTGGCTTCACACGGTCTATCCACCTTCATTAGCACTTCTTTCTCCTGTGATCGCCGCATGATCAGAACTAAGAGAAGGTACATCCACTCAGCGTCTGACGCGGCTCACATCCCAGGTCAGGGCCTGAACATAATGCAGCTGAACAGATGTGAAAACTGTCAGTGACTCCCTGCATATCAAGCCTGGTGCTGGAAAATAAAAACCCTGCTAAGCATATTTCTGCTGTGGATTCTTTGTAGGTGTGTGACTGAAGTGCAGATTGTCGCCTGCATACTTAATCAACAAACCTTTGTTAAACTTTAATGGTCGTGATTGTGCAGGACCTCGGAGTCACGGAGTGTCAACGTGAATACAAACAGAACTGAGAGATGTTGAAACAGCCTCACATGGAAATGAATGGTCAGCTGAAGATGTAGTGGCATTAGTCATCCTGCACTCAAACACTGTAGGGCCTCAGAAATAATGAGTTGCCACTCTCACTAAATGAAAGTCGTCTATTACCATGACTCCTGACGCCGCCATAGTAACCTGACAAGCTCCGAACACAGTCGTGGAGTTTGCTTGTCTTGTTTGTTTATTTGTTTTGTGGTTAAGTAGCGTGGACTACCCTGAGCTCTGCTGCCACTTATAGAAAAACACATCGATAATAGGAGCTGAAATGAAAAATGATTCCCTCGTACAATGGAGCATAATGAAATGGCACAGTGTTGTTTTATACCGTGTACAGATTTAGACTCCTGGTAGTCCAGCAATCACACTGTACACTAACTGTATGTATTGATTAATGTTAAGTAACTAAATGGTGATTGGCTAAAGGTTGAGTCCAAGAAAATAGAATAGTTGTCCTAACGTATAAAAACATTCTTTGCTCTTGGTGATGATTTGCTTCTGAGAGTGATCGAAGTTGTCGGTATGCCCTTAAAGGCCTCACTCAGTTTCAGGTTGAAGCTTCCACAAACAAAAAAGTCTCTCCCAGAGTTACTTTTAATGCAGCTGTAAGGATTCGAACCCCTGCTTTTTTTGAGTCCAGAGCTGCTCATGGTGGTATCTCGTTATTTTGATACACAATATGTGTTCTTTGGTTGAGGGTCTGAGCTGTGATGGTCTTTCCTTGGCATCCTCCCAAAGGACACAAACGTTCACATCTCATAATTCTGACAACTGGAATGTGTTTAAAGCAGGGTTGCACATGCTGAGCGGTGTCCATTCAATAACATCAACATTTGCTTTGGCTAAAGACTAAATAGATTTCCAGAATTCTTTCATTATGGGACAGCGTCAGACCTACATGCACTTGGATATCATGTTAAAATGAATACATTTAAAAGTTAAAAGGATCTCATATGTAGCTGTTTATTTACAATTACATGCAGCAGACATCCAGAGAGTCATAAAGTAAATGTGTTAAGTTGTGTTACCGTGCCAGTTCTTTACCAGCATTCCTTACTTGCATCCTTTGTCGTAACAGCACTTTTTACCGTAATACATTTTTTATTTTCTCCATTATAACATATTGTTGAGTGACGTAGGTGGCACACAATCAGCCCGTTTTGAGTCACATATGTTATTAAACTTCCCCTTTCGTGGGAGCGCAATCGGATCCTGTTGAAGAGAACTTCATTGACAGAGAAAGTTTGTTAACCATCGTCCTCATACACATTATCTCTGATTAGGGTGTTAGGTTCTGTCAAGCCAGTGAAACACAGACAGCCTGGCTTGGTCAGACTTGCTTCATCGTACACCTGGCTGGTGTTGATCAAAGAGGACACTGGTGGTAGGTCGAGGTTGTCATTTGTGGAGCTCTCAGGTCCAGAGTAGAAGAGAAGAACAGTTTCTTTATTCCAAGCCAGTCATGCTTGTTGTTTGCATGTCCAGTGATGTCATAGTTGATCCTACATGATAATTATATTGTGATAAACTGGCTGTTACTGATCATGATCTGGGAGACAGTGGAAGTGACGATGATGATGACGATGATGATGATGATGATGATGTTTCTGCTTCTGGTAATGATACTAAGGACGTGAGTGACAGAGGTCGTGCTGATGTTGTTGCTGACGCTGTGTTTCAGGTCTCAGGGGAAGGAGAAGGAGGCCGAGGCTCTGCTGAGGGACTCCATTCGTTTTGGTCCACATTTCGCTGATGCTTACTCCAGTTTGGCTTCACTCTACGCTGAACAGGTGAACCATCCAGAAAACACAAGCAGCACAGTCCGTCTCAGACACACACTCACCCACGTATGTACCATATTCTAATGCATTATACCAGGCCTGTAGGTGCAGTGTCATTAACTCATACTTGATATGACCTCTGAATTAAATTGGCTGCAGCTGTAGCTCTGTGTGCAGGCAGCGGTACAACATCATTAGAGAAGTATGTTCAGTTGTGTACACTCCAGCTTCTTACCACATTTCCTCTGTGTTCTCTCACAGAAACGCTTCGCTGAAGCCAATGAAGTGTATGTAAAAGGTATCGAGCACTGCCCCGACAGCTCTGACCTGCATAACAACTACGGAGTGTTTCTGGTGGATACGGGTGAGTTGATCCTCGTAGGTTTTCTGGCCCACGGCGGTTTTTAACACCAGTCTTCTCCTGTAAACAGGTTTACATTATAACTAACAGACTCCAGCGTTGCCTGTTCATCAAGCTGACAGAGGGTCTCTGTGAAGAACCCTGGTGGTTTTTGCTGGTGGACCTTAAGGGTTTAGACTGGGTTTCTACATTTGAGGTAGCATTGCTTTCACTTGCTTTCAGGACATTATAAAAATCCACTTGCTGCCACAGAATAAACAGATTTATTCTGTCAGAATGAACAGATTAGTGCACATGATTTTAAAATCCTAATGGTGTTTTCATCATGTTCAAATGACACTGAATGATCCGGCTATGTGCTTGTTGAAAAGCAAACCAGGTTTTCAGAGTGAGCTGCTGAATAAAAGTATTTTTATGATAAATTCAAGTTTGCTGACAGACTCTGAAATCCCAGAAGGCAAAGCTTTATACCACACCACCAAGCACCAGCCTCAGCTCCCAGTTGTATTCCAGGCAGGGGCCTAAAGACGACTATATAATTAATGCATTCAGGAAAACATTCGTTTATTGATTAATATATCAATCAAAATATCCAAAGTGCCGAAACCATTTATGTAGTAATGTGTATGACAGTAACTTTGTATGTATTTCTATAGGTTGCTTTTCAGTCTGCACTGGTGTGAACTGAAAAAAAAGAAGAAAAAAAAAAACACCTACAACATTCTTTACATCAATAAGTAAAAGCAACCAACCACTCTCCACTGCCAGTCCTCCTCAGTGGTGCCTCAGGCCTCACTGGCCACCAAAGGGATGGCAAATCAATCTGAATCCATATGGAGTGTTTTGGAAAAAATATTCAGCAGCAATGGGAAGTCACACACCAGTGAGCTCGTGTGAATCAATGTCGTTTTCTCTGCTTCCTCTGCCACGATCAGTCATCCACCTCGGTTTTGATGGTTGGGTTTTGATTAAAGTAAGTAGAATTCATGAATACATTCTCCAGACCTTTGCTTGAGCTACTTTTACTGGAATATTTAAACTGATGCCACAAGTATAAGATCCATTCGGGTCTCCACGCACACAGACACAGAGATAGAGACAGAGCTGCCCTGCTGTCAAACTGTCACGTGCATGAGGACTCTCTATGTCAGCCCTTTATGTTCACTTTCTATAAGCCTGCATTTCTGCAAACTTTGCATTAGGGAATTACCCACAGTTCTCAGCACTGTGATGTTAAACATAGGCTCACCAGGGGAGGCATGGATGTGATTTTATTTTAAAATAGTAAACAAACAAGCATGACGCAGAAACCCAGCATTACAAAGAAAAAAAAAAAAGTTTAAACACAGAGCACACTAGTGATTTCTAAGTAGATCTGTAAGTAGTTGGTTGTCCTGTGATGGCATGATGATGAGTTCCAAACATGCTCACCTTTATGTGCCACAGCTGTAATGAAAGGGGAAAAATTCAATTAAAAAAAAAGATTAAAAAACCTACAATGTTATGAAACAGTTTTAGTGTTGTCCAGGTGATGTGATGTGTGTGTCTGCCCCTCTCCTTTCGCTCCTCTTCATAACACTTGTGTGTTTTTCTTTAATTTCTTTATTCCTGTCCTCCATCCTCTCTGTCCTCTCCTTCAGGAGAAGGGGAGCTGGCAGCTGCCCACTACCAGCAAGCAGTACGACTCAAACCAGCTCATTACGTTGCCATGGTGAACCTGGGCCGTCTGCTCCGATCATCCAATGAGAACAGAGAAGCTGAGTCTTGGTACAAGAGGTCAGAAAAGTATCTTGTTAAAAAAAGAAGTTAAGTTCATAGTGGCCTTGAGCTAAACAACTTATTAACTGTAATGATTATTGCTGCGTAGCTAAATGTACGCGCTGAGGGACAAGAAAAATGTGTTTATTTTCACACAGAGACATGTATAATACCAACTATTTGAAACTAACATTTCCAGTTAGGCTAAACATGGCAACTGCAGTTGGTTGATTCACAGCATACAAAGGTTAAAAGAGAAAGCACCTACATTAGAAAAATAATTCCATTCATTACATCCTTCCATAGCAGGCATACACTGAACAGAGGAACAAGAAAATCTGTTTGCAGAACCAAATACTGCAGTGTTTAATACTGACATTCACATTCTGGTTCTTAACTTACACTTCTTGTGCAACTCAGACACATCTTCAGTGATACATCGTGGGATCATTGGGTGTTTCAGGTCTCACAACATCATACACCCTCCCCCAGGCGACCCAGCCAGGGTTGATCAGACTTGTGTCTGAGTAGCTTGTGTTGTCCACGGATCACCCCATTTGATCCACAGCCATCTTGACACCTTTTCAGCAGCGTCTGTGATGTTCCTGATGGCCGTCCTGGTGTGTGGTCCCTTCACCCCGAGCATCTTGAGAGCCCTGATTAGAGACTGGCCAACAAAGCCTCTGCACCCCACCTTGATGGGGTTGCACCGGGTCCTCCACCCCTTGCTTCAGCATTCACCTGCCAGCTCCTCATACTTGGCCCTCTTCCTCTCGAAGACCTCCTCTATCCGGTCTTCCCAGGGATCAGTCAATTCCAGCAGGACCACTTGCCTTGATGTTTCAGACACCAGGACGATGTCTGGCCTGAGTGTGGTCACTGCAATATTTTCTGGGAATTTGAGCTGTCTCCCTCGGTCGACCTTCAACTGCCAGTCCTGTGCTGTTGTGAGCAGCCCCCTGGGTTGGTTCATGTGCTGGTATGGCTTGTCCCCGGCTTTTACATAGGTGATGTTCTGCCTTGCTGGTTGCTGGTGTCTGCTGTTGGTGATCCCTGTGCTGATGAGCTCTGTGATGACCTGCAGCACTTGGTCATGGCGCCAGTGGTAGNTCTGCCTTGCTGGTTGCTGGTGTCTGCTGTTGGTGATCCCTGTGCTGATGAGCTCTGTGATGACCTGCAGCACTTGGTCATGGCGCCAGTGGTAGCGCCCATCTCCCACTGCTCTGGGACAACAGCTCAAGATGTGCTCTAGTGATCCTCCTTTCTGGCAGACTGGGCACCATGGACTGTCTGTTAGGCCCCAGTGGAAGAGGGTGGCTGGTCTAGGGAGAACGTCGTAGACGGACTGGATTAAGAATTTGATCCAGAATGGCTCAGACGTCCACGGCTGTGTCCACGATTTCCTGCGTTCTGCTGCCTGCTCCCATCTGGTCCACGCCCCTTGCTGTCGCATCCCCACCATCCTACTGCAGCAGGCTTCCTCCTCCCCTGCTCGGACCTCTTCTTGGATCAGCTGGCGTCTTTCCTTTCCCTGGGCCTTGTTGAAACCAGGTCTTGGATTGCTCCCGAGGCCTGCCCGTCCAGATGCCACTGTGCCCACCAGCTCACTGTGTTGCAGCTGTGACTCAGCCTGATCAACTGCCTGTTGTGCTTCCACTTCCTGCCGGTTCTGACTTCTATTCCTGCTGAGGAGACCTTGATATCTGTGAAGTCTCTGTACAGTTGCCCCTCTCTTGCTCAAGTGAACATAAACTCCTCCGTCAGGCTACTGAGGTGGAGTTTCAGCTTGTTCTTCCTCCTGTATAAGCCGATGCTACTTAGACTTCTTGGTAGGCCTAACCATTTACGCAGGAAACTGCTGGCTTTCCTCTTGAAGCACTCGACGGTGGTAATTGGCACATCATAGACCAGCAGTGGCCAAAGCAGTCAGGGCAAGATGCTGTGCTGGTAGATCCAAACTTTAAACTTGCCTGGCAGTCCTGACTTGTCCACGGCTGTTAGCCAGGTTCCCAACTGGTGGGTGGTTGCCTGGAGGGCTGCGGTATTTTCAGGGTGCAGTTGTAGATCTTCCCCAGACTCTTGACTGGCTTCTCTCCAGCAGATGGTATCTGGATGCCTCCTAGTGAGAAGCGGAACTGGTCCTTAACCTTCCCTTTCTTCGCCACCAGAGACCTGGACTTGGCTGGTTTGAAATTCATCCTAGCCCAGTTGAAGAGGTGCTCCAGCCCTTGGAGGATCCATCTGCTACCCGGAACTGATGTCGTCACCATTTTGTACAACATAAAAAAATTAAATAACATCGGCAGATAGAAACTTTTGAAAACGATGCGAACAAGTAAATTTACCAAAATGGTTGAGCATTCCTTTAAATGGACATGTTGAAGAGAACAATAAGATTCAGCTGGTTTATAGCGCCACTTGTAAGATTTTTGTATCAACTTGTGCTTATTTGATTAATTCTGATTAATTAACTGAGTTTATTCAACTAAATCAATCTGCAGCCATTGTTCACCTATTAGAAACACGGCCTCTGCCTGCAGGGCTCTGGAGGTGACGAGGAAGGTGGACATACTGACCCCGCTCGGAGCGCTGTACTACAACACGGGTCGCTATGAGGAGGCCTTGCAGGTGTACAGAGAAGCTGCTGCACTACAACCAGACAGCACCGACATCTGGCTGGCATTGGTGAGCAGACACACACACACACACACACACACACACACACACACACACATACACACACAGCAAGCCAGGGCATGCCAGGATATCTACAGTTAAGCCCAACTCCTTCATACTCACACCATATTTAGATTCCTAGTAAACACTGATTTGACCAATATTCTTCTTGTGGCTGGACATGCTATCAATACATGACAAGAGACAATAACGCTTTGTGTCAGAGATGAGAATGATTAATTTGAACTATTTATGTTTTTGTTGTGTGTGGGGTTTTTTTGTTTTGTTTGTTTTTTTATATTTTCATGAGAATGCATTGTCCACAATTATTCATTAAATTTTCAGCACTTTCAGCAGTTTTTGCAGCTCCTATGTCATTCCAAATGGTCCTGGTCATTCTGCTATGTTCTACAGTATTCTCATAGACTACAAACTAAGAACCATCTGATGCAGTAGTTATCTAGTCAGTTGCTAGTCAACTGTGAGTCATCGCTGAGAGAGAGCTGCACACCGTGGCTGCTCAACTATAAAGTCATATCCAACTGTTTTCAAGTGCCAGTGGCCACAGTGCAAAACATCATCAAACAGCACAAGGAGGTCCACACTGAAAAATCTGGTAGGCTGGTAGGAAGCCAAAAGTGATATCTGCACTGCTCAGAATGGTGAAGGGCCCACAAGAATTTAAGGATCAGCACCAAACCCAGGCTGGTGAATCTGAGCAGTTCTGGTACACATCTCAAGACACTCCAGCAGACGCTGAACAAGGGTGGTCTCCATGGATACCAACCAATCCACTTTTCCAATACACACACACACAAAAGCGAACCTATTCAACAATTTCCCTGAGGTTTCCACCAAAGGGATCAATAAAGTCCTATTCTATTCCATTGTAACAAAGAAGGCTTTTGGTCGTCAGTTCTGTGGTTGGATGAGTTGTTTGAATGTTTGAATGTAATGTGGGAATACGATACCTTTAAGTGTTTGTCAACCAGTGGCCCTGGCGGCTTTGTCGAGGTAAACAGCACTGCATCAAGCTTCTGGAGGAAAACAAGCAGCTATAAACCAGAGAGATGGCAAGTAAGCCTTCAGCCTCAAAGACCTGAAGATGGTCACAAAGAGGAGTGGAACTACATCCCAGTGGAGACATGCAGGAAACTTGTTAGCAATTGTAAAAACCGTTTGACCGATGTGGCAAATAAAGGCTTTTCCACTGATTTGTGAGAATTATTCAAATGAAAAAAAGTAGAAATGAAAAATAGAAACAACAATAATAATAATTTTTTTTTGAAAAACACTGAAATAGTTGAAATTAGTTATGTTATTATAGTTCAAAATAGCAATTTCCCTGAGGTCTTGTACCGAAGGGATCAATAAAATTTTATTCTAATTCTAATGAAATGTATCAGGGGCATCTGGAACACAATGTCTTGTTTATGTCATTTACAGTCACAAGAAGCCTACTGGTCACTATTAATCAGAATGTGACATGGCTATGAACAATATTCACCAACACGTTTGTATGTTGAACATCTTGCCAAACACACTGTGATTCTGTCCCAGGCTCAGGTTCTAGCCATGGCCGGTCGCACCAAAGAGGCAGAGAAGATGACCCTGGACATCATCTCCAGAGAGGGCAGCTGCATCGAATGCTACCGCCTCCTGTCTGCCATCTACAGCAAGCATGGCAACTACACAGAGGTGTGTTTGTGTCTCTCTCCCTTGGTTTCAGTGTCCTGAGCTCAGAAGTAAAACATCGCACAGCATGTTCAGACGATCACAGTCGAGAATCACAAACTGTCAGCGGGAGACAGCTTCTGCTCCAACAGTTACCGTGGAAACAAATCGCTTCTGGTTTACATCAGAGCAGCGGCCATTTGCTGGCGAGCAGCTGCCACTCATCCACCCACTGTTTTATCATCACCATCTGCATTTGTGCCTGTCTGCCTTTCACTCTCCCTGTGACCCAGTTTTACGTAAAACATGAATCTTGTGTTTTTAGCATGAAAAGTGTTCACCGGACAATTCAACAGTGCAGCAGGACAACATGCCATCATGCCACTGAAATGATCTGGATTGTCTCTATTGAACCAGAATGCACTGATAGCACAATCAGAGGAATAAAACCTACGGCAATAAAAAGGTGGGGGAAAAAAGCGAGAGATGTCCTGATCTGACCTCAAACACAGGGACCAGAGTGAATTGAGGCATTTTTAAGTTGGGTCCTTCCCTATCAACTGCCACACAGGTGTCTTACAATGATGAGCACAATATGTCTCTGGATGCTGGAGAGTCAAGTTTAGAATAATTTTTTATGTCATCATCACAGCCAGTATCTGTCCTGTTTAGCTGACATACACAAGAGAGCTTGTGGAGCCATTGGTACGCCTCGACCCTCTACCAGACCAACAGAGTCCTACAGGAGCTCTACAACAGGATTCAGATGCAGAATAAAGAAAATGTTCTCATGTATTGCAGAGCTATTCAGCTGTCTAGCATTCACTATGTATTTGAAGTGTGTATTACCTAAGAAAATGGTACTGAATTGGGACTCAGTACACTAAATATTAAATGACTTGGATCGGACCGGGGCAGAAACAGCTCGATCAGGACATCCCAAGCCAAAACAGTTTGAACCGCCCAGAACGACTGTGGAGGGGGTTCAGAAAGTCGAGCTGAACTGCAGTGGAGACGAAGCAGCGTTGCACTGTTCCCATCTCTGCGACTCCCAGCAACATAGAGCCTCTGCCAGATCCACACACACATTCACAAATTGCTTTGTAATTCTTCAGCTCTCTTCCTCTCCGCTGTCCGTCAGCGAGGTTGTGATAGAGCTGATGCTGCAGTTTGACACAAAGACGGGAATAAATTACTACGCTCCTTCTCTCTTTGTCTGGTTAGCTCTGCTCTAAATTAGCTCTGACTTCCTCTGCTCTGCATCCTCTGCTTCCTCCTGTCCTCCCTCCATCCCTCCCTGCTTCAGAGGCCCCCTGGTTAAATGCAGCAGGTAGTGAAGGGGCTTTCTGCAGAGCCTGCTGTGAATTCTGCTCTAAACCACCAGTGGCTCTCACCAGTCTGGTCAGAAAGTACACTCAAACATCAAGACAGCCAACTCTGTCTGTTCACCTGCAGTATGTGTGTGTTGACTGTGTGTGTCTGTGCCAGGCTCTGGAGGCTCTGGACCGGGCTTTGCAGCAGAACCCCCGCGATCTGACGGTCAGGGCAGAGCTGTACTTCTCCAAAGGAAACCAGCTCAGAGAGATGAACCAGCTGGACCGAGCCTTTGAGGTACCAAACCCTTCCTCCTTCTCTCCTTCTCTCTCTCTTTCTTATTGACTCACCTTTTTCATGTTTTCTCTCATCTTCCTCCTGTAAGTAGTATAGATTTTCTATAGCAGCTAATCAGGACTGTGGCTCCCTCACTGATTCTGTGAAGAAAACATTGCAATTCAATTCAATTCTATTCTATTTCAGTCTGAGAGCAAAGGGCTCTGTTAGGATGATACGGTACAATAAGGTCTTTAAGGTAAAATGGAGCTGGTCATTAAGAGTTTTTTATGTTATAAGCAGGATTTTAAATTCTATCCTGGATTTAACAGGGAGCCAATGAAGAGTCAATGCAGGAGATATATGATCTGTGTTACTGGTTCCTGTCAGAGCCCTGGCTGCAGCATTTTGGATTAGCTGGAGGTTTTTAAGAGAGTTATTGGGACATCCTGATAATAAAGATTTACAATAGTCCAGTCTAGAAGTTATAAATGATGGCCTAGTTTCTCAGCATCACTCTGAGACAGGATGCTCCTGATTTTTGCAATATTACGTAAATGAAAAAAGGCCATCCTCCAAACTTGTTTTATATGGATATTGAACAACATGTCCTGGTCAAAAATAACTCCAAGGTTCTTCACAGTAGAACTGGAGGCCAAGGCAATGCCATCGAGAGTAGCTATCTGGTTCCATCGTGTGTTTCTGAGGTGTTTAGGGCCAAATACAATAACCTTAGTTTTGTCTGAATTTAAATGACGGAAGTTACAGGTCATCCAGACCTTTATGTCCTTCAGACATGCCTGGAGTCTGACCAACTGATTTTTTTTATTTTTTTTTTTCATTTGGCTTCATAGATAAATATAACTGGGTGTCGTCTGCATAACAGTGGACATTTATGCAATGCTTCCTAATAATATTGCCTAACAGAAGCATGTACAAGGTAAATGATATAAGACCTAACACAGAGCCCTGTGGAACTCCACAACTAACTCTACTGCAGGTGAAAGAATCATCATTAACATGAACAAACTGGAATCTGTCTGATAAATATGATTTAAACCAGTTCCGCGCAGTCCCTTTAAGCCCAGTTAAACATCCCCATCTCTGTAATAAGATTCTGTGATCCACTGGATCAGATGCAGCTCTGAGATCCAGCAGAACCAGTATAGAAACTAGTCCACTGTCTGAGGCTATAAGAAGATCATTAGTGACCTTCACCAGTGCTGTCTCTGTACTATGATGCATTCTACAACCTGACTGAAACTCCTCAGACAAACCATTTCTATGCAGATAATCATATAATTGGCTGCAACAACTTTTTCAAGTATTTTAGAAATAAAAGGGATTGCAGGTAGCAAATTACATGTGCTGCTCACGTCAACGCGTGCTAAATGGTAACTCAGTGTCACGGTCATTTGTAGGTAAAAACAGATGTAGTTTTTAGACGAAATCTTTTCTAATTGTTTCAGACATCCAATGCAAATGACTTAACTTCATCAGTCAGGCTTCCAGTCGGAATCCCAAATCAGAGCAGAGCTGAGTTAAATTATTACTAAACTTTCTGATCATTTCTGTTTCACTACAGTTGTGTGAGAGGCACAACTGAAATGTATGTTTGGCTGCATTCATCTTGTTTGACTGCAAATATGCACAGTTGTGTATGCATGCACTTGCTTTCCAGTTTGTTTGTTTTTTACCTTTCATTGTACACACACATTGCTTCCATCTAATTAATCTGTGAATTAAACATGTTCTAAAAATTCTCATCTGCAACTATGCAAAATTAAAATTCATTAAATTTAACTAAACTAATTTCTTGTTTGGGACATTTCACATCACCCTGTGAGCATTCTATATCCAAAATAATTCCTAACCATGTCAAATATTCATTTATAGTGAATTTTATTTGACCAGTAGGTTTCTTCTGGCTGGAAATGACTTTGACTTTGTGTGCCGCCTCTTTACCAGGTCATCATTCAAAATAAGAACCAGTTCTCAACTAACTTACCTGGTAAAATAAAGGTTAAATAAAATAAATAAAATATAAACAAGTGACAAGCGATAGTAAGACATTGTGTTAGTCATGGTAATATTACATTTGAACTAATTCAATATTGTTGTTTTTGGATTTTTTAAATTTTTTTTTTTTAGATTTTTAGTAAAACTGCCATGTCTGAAATAATACACTTGAAACTGAAGTACTTTTAAAAAAAAATTGCAACTCTTATACCATTTCAAATGATCCAGGTAATTTCTACAATGTTCTAGAGCGTTCTAATACACTATAAACTGAGACCAGCTGGTGCAGTAGTTCAGCTACTTGACAACCGTAAGTCATGGCTAAAAACAAAGAGCTCAGTGAACTTGTTATTAGGGTTTAACACTGAGATAGAGCTGCACTATTGGGCTACTCACAAGATGTTCAATAGCTATAAAACAATATCCAAGTATCTCCAGTGGCCACATTGAGAAACATCATCAAAAAAGTACAAAGAGTTCCAGACTTTAAACGTCTCAAAGGGCTGGGGGAGGCCAAGAGTGACCCCTGTACTGGCAAGAGTAGCACTGAGTCCAAGAAGAATGCAAGTTAGAAGGTGTCTGTTGTTTGGCAAAAGAAAAGAGGAGCGTTCAACTGCAATAACACAGTCCCCACTGTCAGGCGTTGTGGTGGAGATATGATGCTCTGGCATTGGTTTTCAACATTGTGGAGGAAAACAGGCAGTCTGCAGAGAAACTTGTCCTCGAGCAACATTGGACCTTTCAGCAAGACAATGATCTAAAACATACAGTCAAAGGGGTGAAGAAACGGTTAACAGAGAACAGTTTAAACACTACAGAGCAGGCCAGCCAGAGTCCAGACCTGAATCCCATGGAGAGTCTGTGGAGGGACCTGAAGACCCACGTGATAGAAGGAAACCTTCAACCTCAGAGACCTGGAGATGGTCACAAAGAGGAGTGGAACAAAGTCCCAGTAGATACTTGCAGAAAGCTTGTTAGCAATTATAAGAGTTGCAAATAAAAATATTGATTACTGCATAAGGATGTGAATAACTTTGGACGTGGAATTTTAGCAAACCTGTAAACACAAATACAGAAATGATTACAGTTTATCATTAAGACCTCTAACACCGTGTCTTACTGTCTTTTGTACCTTGTTTATGTAATTTCCAGCTAGAAGAAACCCACTGGTCAAACAAAAACTCACTATAAATTAAAAATCTGGAACCTGTATCAATAATTGTGGCCCCAGCTGTACATCATGTTGATGCACCTGTCCTGGACACATCATTACTCCTGCTTGGCGGATGGTGTTGGGTCGATGTGTTTGTTCTTCTTAGATTTTTATGTTAAGGTGAAATCCAGCAAAGTGGTGATAAAAACGCTGCAATGTTCCAAACAGCCATTAACACCAAGCACCTCAGTGTGCATCATTGCACTTTATGGTCTGTTATTGCTTTCAGTGATTCCTGGAAATGATTCAGAGACAGAGGGGATTTATTCACTGATAGTTGGAGCTCGTACCCAGTGCTCTTTAATGTAGAGAAACTGTTTAAGTGTGAGTGTCCGACTGGAGGTCTGTACAGGCCTAACAGCCCCGGCATGGACCTGTGGCTTTCAGACCCAGACCCAGATGGCCCTGTGGAATCTGAAACTCGACCCTGTTTATCTTGTGAAGGGTTCCTCACAAATACAAAATACTTCATTCAGACAATTGTATCCACTGCAGATATTCGATTCTAAGCCTCAGGACGAGGTAGGGTTCGGTTAAAGTTTGGGTCAGGCTGAAACCTTAGGTCCTGGTCTATTTTTATGCCTCCTTCTCAGAAGCAGCAGATGCCAAAGGAATTATGGTTACAGGTTGTCCCTCTGTCCGTCTCATTCTGAATGTGATGTCTCATAAATCCCTAAAGGGAATTTCATCAAACTTGGCATAAACATCAGCTTGAACTAGAATTTACAGATTTGATTTTAATGACTGAAGGTCACTAAGCGTTACACAAAAGGATGAAGTGATAACACTGTCTGTCCAAAAGGTGAAAGGTCATGTTCTGGACAGGCAGGGATATAAACGGCAGCTTGTCTGGTTGGTGCAGGCGTTCAACTGTAGGTCAGTGAGTTCTCACCTGATAAAACACAGACATCAGTCTAGAAGCTCCACAACTGCAAAATGGAGAACAGCCTGAATACAATTAGCCAGTAAACCTGTTGCTGTCACTAAATGTGATGCAACAGACATAAAGGACAATGATGATGCATCCATCTGAGTCATAGTGGTACTAGGAGACAGGTTAGATCAGGTTGAAGGTCCATAATGGTGAAAATTCTGTTATTCCTCAGGCCCCCATGGTTAATTAGCCTCCAGCCTTTACATGGCAGTCAGAATTCAACCCAGGTACTGTGCAACACTTAACTAACCAATAGCTTTCTGCTTAAACTGTGATTGACAGAGAGTTTTCTTCTTTGAGGAGACCGAACAGCAGCAGCTCAGCAGCCCATTTAGAACAGCTCTAAAACCAGGAGTTATATGGTCATGGTACTATGAATCATCTATTTTGAGCTTAAAAACTGAAAGGCATGCTGTGAATACATGCTAGACTTTGATCTGTTGGCTTAAAAGGGGCACAATATGAAACTTTCAGGCTCCATGAAAACAGTTCTGTTGCTCTGGAAATACTGCAATGACTCGTAATATCTGAAATAATAAACTGAACACTATTGTTTTGGGGGTTTTTGTCCCATTGCAATGGGAGACAAAGAAAATCTTCTTTGTCCCTCTCTTTCTACTGGCTTGTTGTTATTAGTTTCTGTAAGTTTTAATCTACTGAACTGTTCTCAGCCACATCAGAACATTTTGGAAATAAAATAACTTCCTAGAGATGTTAAAGCTTCCCCTTAAATGGACCTAGCCATGGAAAAGATCCAGCGTGTTCTCCCATCAGGCACATTTAGCCAATCCTCGCACATTTATGTTGACTGTGTTTGTGAAAAGAAAAGGTCTTGTTCTTTGTTCTTGTCTGTCAGACTAACAGTACAGTCTCTCCACTGAAGCCAGAGAGATTCTTATCTGTTGCCACAAGATCATAATGTTCCCATCGTGCATTAGTCCTCTAACATTATTAAAGAGTTCAAGAAGCTCCTCTTTTGCAATTTTTGTTTTATCTTATCCATCCTTTGCTCGCCAGGCATTTAATGCAGGCTCCACTCCGTCTCCCTTCTAGAAAATAGAAAACAGCCTCAGCTCAGGTCAGGTTTATGAATTCATTTCCACCTGAACGTCAGGGGTTTGTCAGTTTTCTGAGTAGTTTTTTAACTACAGTTCAACATTGTTTGTAAAAGCAACTGAAAGTACAAATCTACTGAAAAGACTGAAGTGCAACATCAGAGGAGCCACCTACAGAGCCAGCTCATTAGTGCGATTCCTGTCAAACGGGCCTGTCTCAGGCTGCTGGTCTCCACTGTCACTGTGGGAGTTAGCATCCTCACTGATCTGCTGGCACACTCTGAATAGCTTGTTCCAGACCCGTGGCTCACATTTAATCTTAGAGCAAAGTTTCAGGAAGGCACTCCTTTTGCACAGGAAGCCTCAATTGACTTCCTGAAAAAAAGACTTGAGAGGAGAGAAAAAAACAAACCTAAAGGAGAGCCTGAAGCCTCTGTGGAAACACTGATGGAGTGGAAACTAGACAGGAAGAGCCACGGAGGTCACATCAGGTCAGTGCAGATTAAAGAGAGCAGTGTTTGTGCAGGGAAACTGCCTTATTAGTTGATACAGATAATGCTGTGATGTGTTATTTCACCAGTATTATCACAGTCTCTGAAGGAAGACAACAAAGAAGAGGCGAGCAGCCTGAGAAACTGTTTGAAGTGCAGTTTGAAACTGGTTTATTTTAGCGTTTATGTTTTCGTCTTGTGTTTTCATCTCAAGTGTGCCTGAGCTCACGGTCTGATTCAAACAGCTCTGCCTTGATATCGGCAAATAACAAGCATAAATTAATGAGCTGAATTTTTAATAGGGCAAACTCTGATAGCATTTCTGTTTATTGAAAATATTTTAGCCTTGGAAATGGAATTTCATTCTAATTCTAATTTATGAAGGTGACAGAGAGACCAGCCATCCACAGGAACGTCAAAAACAAAAGGAGCAAAGTGAGTCAGAAGGTGAACCATATTCATAGGGTCTGCACATTGTTTTTTATCGTTTTAATTTGATGTCAGTTTATGAAAGGAAGATGAACCTTTTATATTCTTGAACAAAGAGGACCTCCAGAGTGCTGCTGGACTGTACAGACTTAGCACGAGCAGAAACAGGGATTATCATTAGCTAAAATCAAAACCACTTTTAAGGTACATGTTCTTATTCAGGTAATTATCCAGTCAACCAATCATTTGGCAGCAATTTAGATGATAAAATCATGCAGATGCAGGTCAAGGGCTTTACTTAATGTTCACAGCAAACATCAGAATGTCGGTAAAATGTCATCTCAGTGATGTGAACTGTCGTGATAGGGCTGGTTTGGATGTTTCCTTCAGCTGCTGATCTCCTGGATTTTTACCTCAACGGTCTCTATAGTTACTACAGAGATGGGAAAAGGGCAGAAAGAAAAAAAAAAGCCTTTGGTAAGGCAGCAGCTCTGCAGAGATAAACATCTTATTCATGCACAAGGTCAGAAGGAAATGGTTGGAGCCGACAGAAGGACTACAGGAACTCATATAACTGCTCCTTACAACTCAACTAAGCAGGTCAGACTCGCAACATGTCCAACCCTGAGGAGGATGGCCTGCTACACACTACAGCAGCTTCACTCCTGTCAGCCAAGAACAGAAATGTAAGGCTGCACTGGGCACAGGTTCCCCAGTACTCAGCAGTTATAACATGGAAAAGTGAACTCTGGTCTAATGAGTATCCATTTCTACTGAGGCTGTAGACGGCAGGTCAGAGCCAACAGCATGAATCCATGGACTCAACCTGCTTCGTGTTAACAGTTCATGCTGCTGCTGCTGCTGCTGCTGGTGTAATGGTGTGGGGAATATTTTCTTGGCACACCTTAGACATGTTAATACCCGGGGTTCATATTCATCCCTTTAGGGCCACTGTTTCCCATCCTGTAATGGCTGCCTCAGCAGGATAATGCACCATGTTGCAAAGGTGAAGACTCAAACTTGTGCTACAATCATGAACACCCCATAGTTAGTGGAGTGTACCTGTTAGACTGGATCTCAAGGCAGGCTCTTGTGTCGCTGCCAGAGGAAAAGAGTTCGGTGGGTTTCTGCTGGTTGGACCCAGAGAGGGAAGAGAGAGAGCAATCGATGTGCTACAGCAGGGGTGTCCAATCCTGGTCCTCGATGGCCACAGTCCTGCATGTTTTAGACATAGACTGTATAAAAGATGGACGTAGCAACCGGCCCTGAAAAATGAAGCCAACCCGGAAGTGTCAAAAACCTGCA